CCCAATTCTCCCACTTTCCATCACCCCATCCCATTCTCCCGTTTTCCATCACCCCGCCCCATTCTCTCGCTTTCCATCACCCCGCCTTATTCTCCCGCTTTCCATCACCCCGCCCCATTCTCCCGATTTCCATCACCCCGCCCCATTCTCCGGTTTCCATCACCCCGCCCCATTCTCCCGATTTCCATCACCCCGCCCCATTCTCCCGCTTTCCATCACCCAGCCCCATTCTCCCTCTTTCCATCACCCCGCCCCATTCTCCCTCTTTCCATCACCCCGCCCCATTCTCCCGCTTTCCATCACCCCGCCCCATTCTCCCTCTTTCTATCACCCCGCTTTCCATCACCCCGCCTCATTCTCCCTCTTTCCATCACCACGCCCCATCTTCCCTCTTTCCATCACCCCGCCCCATTCTCCCGCTTTCCATCACCCCGCCCCATTCTCTCGCTTTCGATCACCCCGCTCCATTCTCCCGCTTTCCATCACCCCGCCCAATTCTCCCTCTTTCTATCACCCCTCTCCATTCTCCCTCTTTCCATCACCCCGCCCCATTCTCCTGCCTTTCATCACCCCGCCCCATTCTCCCGCTTTCCATCACCCCGCCCAATTCTCCCGCTTTCCATCACCCCGCCCAATTCTCCCGACTTCCATCACCCCGCCCCATTCTCCCTCTTTCCATCACCCCGCCCCATTCTCACGCTTTCCATCACCCCACCCCATTCTCCCTCTTTCCATCACCCCGCCCCATTCTCCTGCTTTCCATCACCCCGCCCCATTCTCCCTCTATCCATCACCCCGCCCAATTCTCCCACTTTCCATCACCCCATCCCATTCTCCCGTTTTCCATCACCCCGCCCCATTCTCTCGCTTTCCATCACCCCGCCTTATTCTCCCGCTTTCCATCACCCCGCCCCATTCTCCCGATTTCCATCACTCCGCCCCATTCTCCGGTTTCCATCACCCCGCCCCATTCTCCCGATTTCCATCACCCCGCCCCATTCTCCCGCTTTCCATCACCCCGCCCCATTCTCCCTCTTTCCATCACCCCGCCCCATTCTCCCTCTTTCCATCACCCCGCCCCATTCTCCCGCTTTCCATCACCCCGCCCCATTCTCCCTCTTTCCATCACCCCGCTTTCCATCACCCCGCCCCATTCTCCCTCTTTCCATCACCACGCCCCAACTTCCCTCTTTCCATCACCCCGCCCCATTCTCCCGCTTTCCATCACCCCGCCCCATTCTCTGGCTTTCGATCACCCCGCTCCATTCTCCCGCTTTCCATCACCCCGCCCAATTCTCCCTCTTTCTATCACCCCTCTCCATTCTCCCTCTTTCCATCACCCCGCCCCATTCTCCTGCCTTTCATCACCCCGCCCCATTCTCCCGCTTTCCATCACCCCGCCCAATTCTCCCGCTTTCCATCGCCCCGCCCAATTCTCCCGACTTCCATCACCCCGCCCCATTCTCCCTCTTTCCATCACCATGCCCCATTCTCACGCTTTCCATCACCCCACCCCATTCTCCCTCTTCCCATCACCCCGCCCCATTCTCCTGCTTTCCATCACCCCGCCCCATTCTCCCTCTATCCATCACCCCGCCCAATTCTCCCACTTTCCATCACCCCATACCATTCTCCCGTTTTCCATCACCCCGCCCCATTCTCTCGCTTTCCATCACCCCGCCTTATTCTCCCGCTTTCCCTCACCCCGCCCCATTATCCCGATTTCCATCACCCCGCCCCATTCTCCGGTTTCCATCACCCCGCCTTATTCTCCCGCTTTCCATCACCCCGCCCCATTCTCCCGATTTCCATCACCCCGCCCCATTCTCCGGTTTCCATCACCCCGCCCCATTCTCCCGCTTTCCAACACCCTGCCCCATTCTCCCGCTTTCCATCACCCCACCCCATTCTCACTCTTTCCATCACCCCTCCCCATTCTCCCTCTTTCCATCACCCCACCCCATTCTCCTGCTTTCTATCACCCCGCCTTATTCTCCCTCTTCCCATCACCCTGCCCCATTCTCCCGCCTTCCATCACCCCGCCCCATTCTCCATCTTTCCATCACCCTGCCCAATTCTCCCACTTTCCATCACCCCGCCCCATTCTCCCGCCTTCCATCACCCCGCCCCATTCTCCCTCTTTCCATCACCCCGCCCCATTCTCCCGCTTTCCATCACACCGCCCCATTCTCCCCCTTTCCATCACCCTGCCCAATTCTCCCCCTTTCCATCACCCCGCCCCATTCTCCCACCTTCCATCACCCCGCCCCATTCTCCCTCTTTCCATCACCCCGGCCCATTCTCCCGCTTTCCATCACCCTGCCCCATTCTCACTTTTTCCATCACCCAGCCCCATTCTCCCTCTTTCCATCACCCCACCCCATTCTCCCGCATTCCATCACCCCGCCCCATTTTCCCTCCTTCCATCACCCCGCTCCATTCTCCCGCTTTCCATCACCCCGCCCAATTCTCCCTCTTTCCATCACCCCTCCCCATTCTCCCTCTTTCCATCACCCCGCCCTATTCTCCCGCTTTCCATCACCCCCGCCCCATTCTCCCTCTTTCCATCACCCCGCCCCATTCTCCCTCTTTCCATCACCCCGCCCCATTCTCCCGCTTTCCATCACCCCGCCCCATTCTCCCTCTTTCCATCACCCCGCTTTCCATCACCCCGCCCCATTCTCCCTCTTTCCATCACCACGCCCCATTTTCCCTCTTTCCATCACCCCGCCCCATTCTCCCGCTTTCCATCACCCCGCCCCATTCTCTCGCTTTCGATCACCCCGCTCCATTCTCCCGCTTTCCATCACCCCGCCCAATTCTCCCTCTTTCTATCACCCCTCTCCATTCTCCCTCTTTCCATCACCCCGCCCCATTCTCCTGCCTTTCATCACCCCGCCCCATTCTCCCGCTTTCCATCACCCCGCCCAATTCTCCCGCTTTCCATCACCCCGCCCAATTCTCCCGCCTTCCATCACCCCGCCCCATTCTCCCTCTTTCCATCACCCCGCCCCATTCTCACGCTTTCCATCACCCCACCCCATTCTCCATCTTTCCATCACCCCGCCCCATTCTCCCGCTTTCCATCACCCCACCCCATTCTCCCTCTATCCATCACCCCGCCCAATTCTCCCACTTCCATCACCCCATCCCATTCTCCCGTTTTCCATCACCCCGCCCCATTCTCTCGCTTTCCATCACCCCGCCTTATTCTCCCACTTTCCATCACCCCGCCCCATTCTCCTGATTTCCATCACCCCGCCCCATTCTCCGGTTTCCATCACCCCGCCCCATTCTCCCGATTTCCATCACCCCGCCCCATTCTCCCTCTTCCCATCACCCTGCCCCATCCTCCCGCCTTCCATCACCCCTCCCCATTCTCCATCTTTCCACACCCTGCCCAATTCTCCCACTTTCCATCACCCCGCCCCATTCTCCCGCCTTCCATCACCCCGCCCCATTCTCCCTCTTTCCATCACCCCGCCCCATTCTCCCGCTTTCCATCACCCCGCCCCATTTTCCCGATTTCCATCACCCCGCCCCATTCTCCCTCTTCCCATCACCCTGCCCCATCCTCCCGCCTTCCATCACCCCGCCCCATTCTCCATCTTTCCATCACCCTGCCCAATTCTCCCACTTTCCATCACCCCGCCCCATTCTCCCGCCTTCCATCACCCCGCCCCATTCTCCCTCTTTCCATCACCCCGCCCCATTCTCCCGCTTTCCATCACCCCGCCCCATTTTCCCGATTTCCATCACCCCGCCCCATTCTCCCGCTTTCCATCACCCCGCCCCATTCTCCCGCTTTCCATCACCCCGCCCCATTCTCCCGCTTTCCATCACCCAGCCCCATTCTCCCGCTTTCCATCACCCCGCCCCATTCTACTGCTTTCCATCACCCCGCCCCATTCACCCTCTTTCCATCACCCCGCCCCATTCTCCCGCATTCCTTCACCCCGCCCCATTTTCCCTCGTTCCATCACCCCGCTCCATTCTCCCGCTTTCCATCACCCCGCCCAATTCTCCCTTTTTCCATCACCCCTCCTCAATCTCCCTCTTTCCATCACCCCGCCCCATTCTCCCGCTTTCCACCACCCCGCTCCATTCTCCCGCTTTCCATCACCCCGCCCAATTCTCCCGCTTTCTATCACCACGCCCCATTCTCCCTCTTTCCATCACCCCGCCCCATTCTCCCGCTTTCCATCACCACGCCCCAATCTCCCTCTTTCCACCACCCCGCCCCATTGTCTCTCCTTCCATCACCCCGCCCCATTCTCCCGCTTTCCATCACCCCGCCCCATTCTCCCTATTTCCATCACCCCGCCCCATTCTCCCGCTTCCCATCACCCCGCCCCGTTCTCCCTCTTTCCATCACCCCGCTCCATTCTCCCGCTTTCCATCACCCCGCCCAATTCTCCCTTTTTCCATCACCCCTCCTCATTCTCCCTCTTTCCATCACCCCGCCCCATTCTCCCGCTTTCCACCACCCCGCTCCATTCTCCCGCTTTCCATCACCCCGCCCAATTCTCCTGCTTTCTATCACCACGCCCCATTCTCCCTCTTTCCATCACCCCGCCCCATTCTCCCGCTTTCCATCACCACGCCCCAATCTCCCTCTTTCCACCACCCCGCCCCATTGTCTCTCTTTCCATCACCCCGCCCCATTCTCCCGCTTTCCATCACCCCGCCCCATTCTCCCTCTTTCCATCACCCCGCCCCATTCTCCCGCTTCCCATCACCCCGCCCCGTTCTCCCTCTTTCCATCACCCCGCCCCATTCTCCCGCTTTCCACCACCCCGCTCCATTCTCCCGCTTTCCATCACCCCGCCCAATTCTCCCGCTTTCCATCACCACGCCCCATTTTCCCTCTTTCCATCACCCCGCCCCATTCTCCCGCTTTCCATCACCCCGCCCCATTCTCCCGCTTTCCATCACCCCGCTCCATTCTCCCGCTTTCTATCACCCCGCCCAATTCTCTCTCTTTCTATCACCCCTCTCCATTCTCCCTCTTTCCATCACCCCGCCCCATTCTCCCTCCTTCCATCACCCCGCCCCATTCTCCCTCCTTCCATCACCCCGCCCCATTCTCCCGCTTTCCATCACCCCGCCTCATTCACCCGCTTCCCATAACCCCACCTTATTCTCCCGCTTTCCATCACCCCGCCACATTCTCCCGCTTTCTATCACCCCGCCCCATTCTCCCTCCTTCCATCAACCCGCCCCATTCTCCCGCTTTCCATCACCCCGCCCCATTCTCCCGATTCCCACCACCCCGCCCCTTTCTCCCGCTTTCCATCACCCCGCCCCATTCTCCCGCTTTCCATCACCCTGCCCCATTCTCCCGCTTTCCATCATCCCGCCCTATTCTCCCTCCTTCCATCACCCCGCCCCATTCTCCCGCTTTCCATCACTCCGCCCCATTCTCCCTCCGTCCATCACCCCGCCCCATTCTCCCTCCTTCCATCACCACGCCCCATTCTCCCGCTTTCCATCACCCCGCCCCATTCTCCCGCTTCCCATAACCCCACCCCATTCTCCCGCTTTCCATCACCCCGCCACATTCTCCCACTTTCCATCACCCCGCCCCCTTCTCTCTCCTTCCATCACCCCGCCCCATTCTCCCTCCTTCCATCACCCCGCCCCATTCTCCCGCTTTCCATCACCCGGCCCCATTCTCCCGTTTTCCATCACCCAGGCCCATTCTCCCGCTTTCCATCACCCCGCCCCATTTTCCCGCTTTCCATCACCCCGCCCCATTCTCCCGCTTTCCATCACCCTGCCCCATTCTCCCGCTTTCCATCATCCCGCCCTATTCTCCCTCCTTCCATCACCCCGCCCCATTCTCCCGCTTTCCATCACTCCGCCCCATTCTCCCTCCTTCCATCACCCCGCCCCATTCTCCCTCCTTCCATCAACCCGCCCCATTCTCCCGCTTTCCATCACCCCGCCCCATTCTCCCGCTTCCCATAACCCCACCCCATTCTCCCGCTTTCCATCACCCCGCCACATTCTTCCACTTTCCATCACCCCGCCCCCTTCTCTCTCCTTCCATCACCCCGCCCCATTCTCCCTCCTTCCATCACCCCGCCCCATTCTCCCGCTTTCCATCACCCGGCCCCATTCTCCCGCTTTCCATCACCCAGCCCCATTCTCCCGCTTTCCATCACCCCGCCCCATTTTCCCGCTTTCCATCACCCCGCCCTATTCTCCCGCTTTCCATCACCCCGCCCCATTCTCCCGCTTCCCATAACCCCACCCCCTTCTCCCGCTTTCCATCACACCGCCACATTCTCCCGCTTTCTATCACCCCGCCCCATTCTCCCTCCTTCCATCACCCCGCCCCATTCTCCCGCTTTCCATCACCCCGCCCCATTCTCCTGATTTCCATCACCCCACCCCATTCTCCCGCTTTCCATCACCCCGCCCCATTCTCCCGCTTTCCATCACCCCGCCCCATTCTCCCGCTTTCCATCATCCCGCCCCATTCAACCTCCTTCCATCACCCCGCCCCATTCTCCCGCTTTCCATCACTCCGCCCCATTCTCCCTCCTTCCATCACCCCGCCCCATTCTCCCTCCTTCCATCACCCCGCCCCCATTCTCCCGCTTTCCATCACCCCGCCCCATTCTCCCGCTTCCCACAACCCTATCCCATTCTCCCGCTTTCCATCACCCCGCCACATTCTCCCACTTTCCATCACCCCGCCCCCTTCTCTCTCCTTCCATCACCCCGCCCCATTTTCCCTCCTTCCATCACCCCGCCCCATTCTCCCGCTTTCCATCAGCCCACCCCATTCTCCCGCTTTCCATCATCCCTCCCCTTTCTCCCGATTTCCATCTCCACGCCCCATTCTCCCGCTTCCCATCAACCCGCCCCATTCTCCCGCTTTCCATCACCCCGCCCCATTCTTCCGCTTCCCATCATCCCGCCCCATTCCCCCGCTTTCCATCACCCCTCCCCATTCTCCCTCCTTCCATCACCCCGCACCATTCTCTCGCTTTCCATCACCCCACCCCATTCTCCCGCTTTCCATCACCCCGCCCCATTCTCCCGCTTTCCATCACCCCGCCCCATTCTTCCTCCTTCCATCACCCCGCCCCATTCTCCCTCCTTCCATCACCCCGCCCCATTCTTCCTCATTCCATCACCCCGCCCCATTCTCCCGCTTTCCATCATCCCGCCCCATTCTTTCGCTTCCCATAACCCCACCCCATTCTCCTGCTTTCCATCACCACGCCACATTTTCCCACTTTCCATCACCCCGCCCCCTTCTCTCTCCTTCCATCACCCCGCCCCATTCTCCCTCCTTCCATCACCCCGCCCCATTCTCCCGCTTTCCATCAGCCCGCCCTATTCTCCCGCTTTCCATCACCCCGCCCCTTTCTCCCGCTTTCCATCACCCCGCCCCATTCTCCCGCTTTCCATCACCCCGCCCCATTGTCCCGCTTTTCATCACTTAGCCCCATTCTCCCGCTTTCCATCATCCCGCCCCATTTTTTCGCTTTCCATCACCCCGCCCCATTCTCCCGCTTTCCAGCACCCTGGCCCAATCTCCTGCTTTCCATCACCCCGCCCCATTCTCCCTCCTTCCATCACCCCGCCCCATTCCCCCGCTTTCCATCACCCTGACCCTATCTCCCGTTTTCCATCACCCCACCCCATTCTCCCTCCTTCCATCACCCCGCCCCATTCTCCCGCTTTCCATCACCGCGCCCCATTCTCCCTCTTTCCATCACCCAGCCCCATTCTCCCGCTTTCCATCACCCCGCCCCATTCTCCCGCTTTCCATCACCCCGCCCCATTCTCCCGCTTTCCATCACCCCGCCTTATTCTCCCTCCTTCCATCACCCCGCCCCATATTCCCGCTTTCTATCACCCCGCCCCATTCTCCCTCCTTAAATCACCCCGCCCCATTCTCCCTCCTTCCATCACCCCGCCCCATTCTCCCGCTTTCCATCACCCCGCCCTGTTCTCCCGCTTCCCATAACCCCACCCCCTTCTCCCGCTTTCCATCACCCCGCCACATTCTCCCGCTTTGTATCACCCCGCCCCATTCTCCCTCCTTACATCAACCCGCCCCATTCTCCCGCTTTCCATCACCCCGCCCTATTCTCCCGATTTCCATCACCCCGCCCCATTCTCCCGCTTTCCATCACCCCGCCCCATTCTCCCGCTTTCGATCACCCCGCCCCATTCACCCCGCCCCATTCTCCCTCTTTCCATCAACCCGCCCCATTCTCCTACTTTTCTTCACCCCGCCCCATTCTCCCTCCTTCCATCACCCCGCCCCATTCTCCCTCCTTCCATCACCCCGCCTTATTCTCCTGCTTTCCATCACCCCGCCCCATTCTCCCGCTTCCCATAACCCCACCCCATTCTCCCGCTTTCCATCACACTGCCACATTCTCCCACTTTCCATCACCCCGCCCCCTTCTCTCTCCTTCCATCACCCCGCCCCATTCTCCCTCCTTCCATCACCCCGCCCCATTCTCCCGCTTTCCATCAGCCCACCCCATTCTCCCGCTTTCCATCTCCCCGCCCCATTCTCCCACTTCCCATCACCCTGCCCCATTCTCCTGCTTTCCATCAACCCGCCCCATTCTTCCGCTTCCTATCATCCCGCCCCATTCCCCCGCTTTCCATCACCCCTCCCCTTTCTTCCTCCTTCCATCACCGCGCCCCATTCTCTCGCTTTCCATCACCCCGCCCCATTCTCCCGCTTTCCATCACCCCGCCCCATTCTCCCGCTTTCCATCACTTAGCCCCATTCTCCCGCTTTCCATGACCCCGCCCCATTTTTCCTCTTTCCATCACCCCGCCCCATTCTCCTACTTTCCATCACCCTGCCCCAATCTCCCGCTTTCCATCACCTCGCCCCATTCTCCCTCCTTCCATCACCCCGCCCCATTCTCCCGCTTTCCATCACCCCGCCCCATTCTCCCGCTTTCCATCACCCAGCCCCATTCTCCCGCTTTCCATCACCCCGCCCCATTCTCCCGCTTTCCATCACCCCGCCCCATTCTCCCGCTTTCCATCACCCCGCCCCATTCTCCCTCCTTCCATCACCCCGCCCCATTCTCCCGCTTTCCATCACCCCGCCCCACTCTCCCGCTTCCCATAACCCCACCCCATTCTCCCGCTTTCCATCACCCCACCACATTTTCCCGTTTTCTATCACCCAGCCCCATTCTCCCTCCTTCCATCACCCCGCCCCGTTCTCCCACTTTCCATCACCTCGCCCCATTCTCCCGATTTCCGTCACCCCGCCCCATTCTCCCGCTTTCCATCACCCCGCCCCATTCTCCCGCTTTCCATCACCCCGACCCATTCTCCCGCATTCCATCATCCCGCCCCATTCTCCCTCCTTCCATCACCCCGCCCCATTCTCCCGCTTTCCATCACTCCGCCCCATTCTCCCTCCTTCCATCGCCCCGCCCCATTCTCCCTCCTTCCATCACCCCGCCCCATTCTCCCGCTTTCCATCACCCCGCCCCATTCTCCCGCTTCCCATAACCCCACCCCATTCTCCCGCTTTCCATCACCCCGCCACATTGTCCCACTTTCCATCACCCCGCCCCCTTCTCTCTCCTTCCATCACCCCGCCCCATTCTCCCTCCTTCCATCACCCCGCCCCATTCTCCCGCTTTTCATCAACCCGCCCCATTCTCCCGCTCTCCATCACCCCTCCCCTTTCTCCCGCTTTCCATCTTCCCGCCCCATTCTCCCGCTTTCCATCACTCCGCCCCATTCTCCCGCCTTCCATCACCCCGCCCCATTATCCCTCCTTCCATCACCCCGCCCCATTCTCCCGCTTTCCATCACTCCGCCCCATTCTCCCGCTTTCCATCACCCCACCCCATTCCTTCGCTTTCCATCACCCCGCCCCATTCTCCTGTTTCCATCACGCCGCCCCATTCTCCCGCTTTCCATCACCCCGCCCCATTCTCCTGCTTTCCATCACCCCGCCCCAATCATCGTCTTTCCAACACCCCACCCCATTCTCCCTCCTTCCATCACCCCGCCCTATTCTCCTGCCTTCCATCACCCCGCCCCATTCTCCCGCTTTCCATCACCTCGCCCCATTTTCCCGTCTTCCATCACCCCGCCACATTCTCCTGCTTTCCATCACCCCGCCCCATTCTCCCACTTTCCACCTCCCCGCCCCATTCTCCCGCTTTCCATCACCCTGCCCCATTCTCCCGCTTTCCATCACCCCACCCCATCCTCCCACCTTCCATCACCCCGCCCTATTCTCCCTCCTTCCATCACCCCAAACCATTCTCCCGCTTTCCATCACCCCACCCCATTCTCCCGCTTTCCATCACCCCGCCCCATTCTCTTCCTTTCCATCACCCCGCCCCATTCTCCCGCTTTCCATCACTCCGCCCCATTCTCCCGCTTTCCATCACCCCACCCCATTCTCCCGCTTTCCATCACCCCGCCCCATTCTCCCGCTTTCCATCACCCCGCCCAATTCTCCCGCTTTCCATCACCCCGCCCCATTCTCCTGCTTTCCATCACCCCGCCCCAATCTCCCTCTTTCCATCACCCCACCCCATTCTCGCTCCTTCCATCACCTCGCCCCATTCTCCTGCCTTCCATCACCCCGCCCCATTCTCCCGCTTTCCATCACCCCGCCCCATTTTCCCGTTTTCCATCACCCCGCCACATTCTCCTGCTTTCCATCACCCCGCCCCATTCTCCCACTTTCCACCTCCCCGCCCCATTCTCCCACTTTCCATCACCCCGCCCCATTCTCCCGCTTTCCATCACCCCACCCCATCCTCCCACCTTCCATCACCCCGCCCCATTCTCCCTCCTTCCATCACCCAAAACAATTCTCCCGCTTTCAATCACCCCACCCCATTCTCCCGCTTTCCATCACCCCGCCCCATTCTCTTCCTTTCCATCACCCCGCCCCATTCTCCCGCTTTCCATCACCCTGCCCCATACTCCTGCTTTCCATCACCCCGCCCCGTTCTCCTGCTTTCCATCACCCCGCCCCATTCTCCCGCTTTCCATCACCCCGCCCCATTCTCCTGCTTTCTATCACCCCGCCCCATTCTCCCTCCATCCATCACCCCGCCCCATTCTCCCTCCTTCCATCACCCCGCCCCATTCTCCCTCCTTACATCACCCCTTCCCATTCTCCTGCTTTCCATCACCCCGCCCCATTCTCCCGCTTTCCACCACCTCGCCCCATTCTCCCGCCTTCCATCACCCCGCCCCATTATCCCTCCTTCCATCACCCCGCCCCATTCTCCCGCTTTCCATCACTCCGCCCCATTCTCCTGCTTTCCATCACCCCACCCCATTCTCCCGCTTTCCATCACCCCGCCCCATTCTCCCGCTTTCCATCACCCCGCCCCATTCTCCCTCCTTCCATCACCCCAAACCATTCTCCCGCTTTCCATCACCCCACCCCATTCTCCCGCTTTCCATCACCTCGCCCCATTCTCTTCCTTTCCATCACCCCGCCCCATTCTCCCGCTTTCCATCACCCTGCCCCATACTCCCGCTTTCCATCACCCCGCCCCATTCTCCCTCCTTCCATCACCCCACCCCATGCTCCCGCTTTCCATCATCCCGCCCCATTCTCCCGCTTTCCATCACACCGCCCCATTCTCCCGCTTTCCATCACCCCGCCCCATTCTCCCATCACCCCGCCTCATTCTCCCGCTTTCCATCACCACGCCCCATTCTCCCGCTTTCCATCACCCCGCCCCATTCTCCCGCTTTCCATCACTCCGCCCCATTCTCCCGCTTTCCATCACCCCGCCCCATTCTCCCGCTCTCCATCACCCCGCCCCATTCTTCTCCTTCCATCACCCCGCCTCATTCTACCTCCTTCCATCACCCCGCCCTATTCTCCTGCCTTCCATCACCCCGCCCCATTCTCCCTCTTTCAATCACCCCGCCCCATTTTCCCGTTTTCCATCACCGCGCCACATTCTCCTGCTTTCCATCACCCCGCCCCATTCTCCCACTTTCCACCTCCCCGCCCCATTCTCCCGCTTTCCATCACCCTGCCCCATTCTCCCGCTTTCCATCACCCCACCCCATCCTCCCACCTTCCATCACCCCGCCCTATTCTCCCTCCTTCCATCACCCCAAACCATTCTCCCGCTTTCCATCACCCCACCCCATTCTCCCGCTTTCCATCACCCCGCCCCATTCTCTTCCTTTCCATCACCCCGCCCCATTCTTCCGCTTCCCATCATCTCGCCCCATTCCCCCGCTTTCCATCACCCCTCCCCATGCTCCCTCCTTCCATCACCCCGCCCCATTCTCTCGCTTTCCATCACCCCGCCCCATTCTCCCGCTTTCCATCACACCGCCCCATTCTCCCGCTTTCCAATACCCCGCCCCATTCTCCCGCTTTCCATCACCCTGCCCCATTCTCGCGCTTTCCATCACCCTGCCCCATTCTCCCTCCTTCCATCACCCCGCCCCATTCTCCCGCTTTCCATCACCCCGCCCCATTCTCCCGCTTCCCATAACCCCACCCCATTCTTCCGATTTCCATCACCCCGCCCCATTCTCCCGCTTTCCATCAACCCGCCCCATTCTCCCGCTTTCCATCACCCTGCCCCATTCTCACCCTTTCCATCACCCCTCCCCATTCTCCCTCTTTCCATGACCCCGCCCCATTCTCCTGCTTTCTATCTCCCCGCCCCATTCTCCCTCTTTCCATCACCCCGCCCCATTCTTCCGCCTTCCATCACCCCGCCCCGTTCTCCATCTTTCCATCACCCTGCCCAATTCTCCCGCTTTCCATCACCCCGCCCCAATCTGCCGCCATCCATCACCCCGCCCCATTCTCCCTCTTTCCATCACCCCGCCCCATTCTCTCGCTTTCCATCACCCCGCCCCATTTTCCCAATTTCCATCACCCCGCCCCATTCTCCCGCTTTCCATCACCCCGCCCCATTTTCCCGCTTTCCATCACCCCGCCCCATTCTACCGCTTTCCATCACCCCGCCCCATTCTCCCGCTTTCCATCACCCCGCCCCATTCTCCCGCTTTCCATCACCCCGCCCCATTCTCCCGCTTTCCATCACCCCGCCCTATTCTCCCTCTTTCCATCACCCCGCCCCATTCTCCCGCTTTCCATCACCCTGCCCCATTTTCACTCTTTCCATCACCGCGCTCCATTCTCCCGCTTTCCATCACCCCGCCCAATTCTCCCTCTTTCCATCACCCCTCTTCATTCTCCCTCTTTCCATCACCCCGCCCCATTCTCCCGCTTTCCATCACCCCGCCCCAATCTCCCTCTTTCCATCACCCGGCCCCATTCTCCCGCTTTCCATCACCTCGCTCCATTCTCCCGCTTTCAATCACCCCGCCCGCTCCATTCTCCCGCTTTCCAACACCCTGCCCCATTCTCACTCTTTCCATCACCCCTCCACATTCTCCCTCTTTCTATCTCCCCGCACCATTCTCCTGCTTTCTATCACCCCGCCCCATTCTCCCTCTTTCCATCACCCCACCCCGTTCTCCCGCCTTCCATCACCCCGCTTTATTCTCCATCTTTCCATCACCCTGCCCAATTCTCCCCCTTTCCATCACCCCGCCCCATTCTCCCGCCTTCCATCACCCCGCCCCATTCTCCCTCTTTCCATCACCCCGCCCCGTTCTCCCGCTTTCCATCACCCCGCCCCATTTTCCCGATTTCCATCACCCCGCCCCATTCTCCCGCTTTCCATCACCCCGCCCCATTCTCCCGCTTTCCATCACCCCGCCCCATTCTCCCGCTTTCCATCACCCCGCCCCATTGTCTCGCTATCCATCACCCAGCCCCATTCTCCCTTTTTCCATCAACCCGCCCCATTCTCCCGCATTCCATCACCCCGCCCCATTTTCCCTCCTTCCATCACCCCGCTCCATTCTCCCGCTTTCCATCACCCCGCCCAATTCTCCTTCTTTCCATCACCCCTCCCCATTCTCCCTCTTTCCATCACCCCGCCCCGTTCTCCCGCTTTCCATCACCCCGCCCCATTCTCCCTCTTTCCATCACCCCTCCCCGTTCTCCCTCCTTCCATCACCCCGCCCCATTCTCCCGCTTTCCATCACCCCGCCCCATTCTCCCTCCTTCCATCACCCCGCTCCATTCTCCCGCTTTCTATCACCCCGCCCAATTCTCCCTCTTTCCATCACCCCTCCCCATTCTCCCTCTTTCCATCACCCCGCCCCATTCTCCCGCTTTCCATCACCCCGTCCCTTTCTCCCTCTTTCCATCACCCCGCCCCATTCTCCCTCTTTCCATCACCCCGCCCCATTCTCCCGCTTTCCATCACCCCGACCCATTCTCCCTCTTTCCATCACCCCGCCCCATTCTCCCGCTTTCCATCACCCCGACCCATTCTCCCTCTTTCCATCACCCCGCCCCATTCTCCCGCTTTCCATCACCACGCCCCATTTTCCCTCTTTCTATCACCCCGCCAAATTCTCCCTCTTTCCATCACCCCTCCCCATTCTCCCTCTTTCCATCACCCCGCCCCATTCTCCCGCTTTCCATCACCCCATCCCTTTCTCCCTCTTTCCATCACCCCGCCCCATTCTCCCTCTTTCCATCAACCCGCCCCATTCTCCCGCTTTCCATCACCCCGACCCATTCTCCCTCTTTCCATCACCCCGCCCCATTCTCCCGCTTTCCATCACCCCGCCCCATTCTCCCGCTTTCCATCACCCCGCCCCATTCACCCTCTTTCCATCACCCGGCCCCATTCTCCCGCTTTCCATCACCCCGCTCCATTCTCCCGCTTTCAATCACCCCGCCCACTCCATTCTCCCGCTTTCCAACACCCTGCCCCATTCTCACTCTTTCCATCACCCCTCCCCATTCTCCCTCTTTCCATCTCCCCGCACCATTCTCCTGCTTTCTATCACCCCGCCCCATTCTCCCTGTTTCCATCACCCCGCCCCATTCTCCCGCCTTCCATCACCCCGCCCCATTCTCCATCTTTCCATCACCCTGCCCAATTCTCCCCCTTTCCATCACCCTGCCCCATTCTCCCGCCTTCCATCACCCCGCCCCATTCTCCCTCTTTCCATCACCCCGCCCCATTCTCCCGCTTTCCATCACCCCGCCCCATTTTCCCGATTTCCATCACCCCGCCCCATTCTCCCGCTTTCCATCACCCCGCCCCATTCTCCCGCTTTCCATCACCCCGCCCCATTCTCCCGCTTTCCATCACCCCGCCCCATTCTCCCGCTTTCCATCACCCAGCCCCATTCTCCCTCTTTCCATCACCCCGCCCCATTCTCCCGCATTCCATCACCCCGCCCCATTTCCCTCCTTCCATCACCCCGCTCCATTCTCCCGCTTTCTATCACCCCGCCCAATTCTCCCTCTTTCCATCACCCCTCCCCATTCTCCCTCTTTCCATCACCCCGCCCCATTCTCCCGCTTTCCATCACCCCGTCCCTTTCTCCCTCTTTCCATCACCCCGCCCCATTCTCCCTCTTTCCATCACCCCGCCCCATTCTCCCGCTTTCCATCACCCCGACCCATTCTCCCTCTTTCCATCACCCCGCCCCATTCTCCCGCTTTCCATCACCCCGCCCCATTCTCCCTCTTTCCATCACCACGCCCCATTTTCCCTCTTTCCATCACCCCGCCCCATTCTCCCGCTTTCCATCACCCCGCCCCATTCTCTCGCTTTCGATCACCCCGCTCCATTCTCCCGCTTTCCATCACCCCGCCCAATTCTCCCTCTTTCTATCACCCCTCTCCATTCTCCCTCTTTCCATCACCCCGCCCCATTCTCCCGCCTTTCATCACCCCGCCCCATTCTCCCGCTTTCCATCACCCCGCCCAACTCTCCAGCTTTCCATCACCCCGCCCAATTCTCCCGCCTTCCATCACCCCAACCCATTCTCCCTCTTTCCATCACCCCGCCCCATTCTCACGCTTTCCATCACCCCACCCCATTCTCCCTCTTTCCATTACCCCGCCCCATTCTCCCGCTTTCCATCACCCCGCCCCATTCTCCCTCTATCCATCACCCCACCCAATTCTCCCACTTTCCATCACCCCATCCCATTCTCCCGTTTTCCATCACCCCGCCCCATTCTCTCGCTTTCCATCACCCCGCCTTATTCTCCCGCTTTCCATCACCCCGCCCCATTCTCCCGATTTCCATCACCCCGCCCCATTCTCCGCTTTCCATCACCCCGCCCCATTCTCCCGATTTCCATCACCACGCCCCATTCTCCCGCTTTCCAACACCCTGCCCCATTCTCCCGCTTTCCATCACCCCTCCCATTCTCCCTCTTTCCATCACCCCGCCCCATTCTCCTGCTTTCTATCACCCCACCCCATTCTCCCTCTTTCCATCACCCCGCCCCATTCTCCCGCCTTCCATCACCCCGCCCCATTCGCCATCTTTCCATCACCCTGCCCGATTCTACCCCTTTCCATCACCCCGCCCCATTCTCCCGCCTTCCATCACCCCGCCCCATTCTCCCTCTTTCCATCACCCCGCCCCATTCTCCCGCTTTCCATCACCCCGCCCCATTCTCCCTCTATCCATCACCCCACCCAATTCTCCCACTTTCCATCACCCCATCCCATTCTCCCGTTTTCCATCACCCCGCCCCATTCTCTCGCTTTCCATCACCCCGCCTTATTCTCCCGCTTTCCATCACCCCGCCCCATTCTCCCGATTTCCATCACCCCGCCCCATTCTCCGCTTTCCATCACCCCGCCCCATTCTCCCGCTTTCCATCACCCCGCCCCATTCTCCCGCTTTCCATCACCCAGCCCCATTCTCCCGCTTTCCATCACCCCGCCCCATTCTCCTGCTTTCCATCACCCCGCCCCATTCTCCCTCTTTCCATCACCCCGCCCCATTCTCCCGCATTCCTTCACCCCGCCCCATTTTCCCTCATTCCATCACCCCGCTCCATTTTCCCGCTTTCCATCACCCCGCCCAATTCTCCCTCTTTCCATCACCCCTCCCCATTCTCCCTCTTTCCATCATCCCGCCCCATTCTCCCGCTTTCCATCACCACGCCCCATTCTCCCTCTTTCCACCACCCCGCCCCATTCTCCCTCTTTCCATCACCCCGCCCCATTCTCCCGCTTTCCATAACCCCGCCCCATTCTCCCTCTTTCCATCACCCCGCCCTATTCTCCCGCTTTCCATCACCCCGCCCCGTTCTCCCTCTTTCCATCACCCCGCTCCATTCTCCCGCTTTCCATCACCTCGCCCAATTCTCCCTCTTTCCATCACCCCTCCTCATTCTCCCTCTTTCCACCACCCCGCCCCATTCTCCCGATTTCCATCACCCCGCCCCTCTCCCGCTTTCCATCACTCCGCCCCATTCTCCCGATTTCCATCACCCCGCTCCATTCTCCGCTTTCCATCACCCCGCCCAATTATCCCTCTTTCCATCACCCCGCCCCATTCTCCCTCTTTCCATCACCCCGCCCCATTCTCCCGCTTTCCATCACCCGCCCCATTTTCCCGATTTCCATCACCCCGCCCCATTCTCC